GCTCCTGAGACACGCGTTGCTGGGAAAGAGACACAAGAGACATGCATTGCTGAGTGAGACACCGAGGGACCAGCACTGCTGGGAAAGAGACTGTGAGAGACTGTTGGCTGAGGGCCGGTGGGCTGGGAGAGAGACTGGGCACTTTTCCTGAACTTGAGTTATAGACTGTGGTGCTTCCCTAATAAACCCCATAATCTGTGAGCTCTGTGTGCCCACTGCAGTGAATTATCGAACCCAGGAGAAAGGTGGTGAGTGCTTTGGGAGGAACGGCTGGAGAAAGGGCTGGAGGGAGGCAGCATGTCTGGCCTGGCAGGAATAGGCCTTGGGCTATTGATGGTGATTCTGTCTTCCTATTGTGGGATTAGAGGTCAGAACATGTGGTCTCCTTGCCCTTTTTGCAGGTCCTCAGTTACCCTTCAGGTCTGGAATTGAACACACTCCTGTGGCTTCCAGCCAAACAACAGGCAGGCATATAGGGTGAGTATTTACATCAAGTAGATACACGCCTTAGAATGATCAATCATGGGAGAACAGAAGGGCAGTATTTGCACAGGGAGATAGCTCAGGGAGCAGGAATGCATAGCAAAGAAGGACAGAGGGAGGAAGTGGGGAGAGAGCTGTTACACTGGAGAATTACAGTCAATGTCATGAAACAAAATGTGTATGAAATGCTGTATGGAAAATGAATTTGCTCTGTAAACCTTCACCCAAATCACAAAATTTAAAAAAAAAAAAGAACACATGGTACAATGAATTACTTAATATGGCTCTTCTAGCCACAGTCTTTGTTTTTTGACTCCCACCAGATGACTGGGTGGCACTATACGAAACTGATGTGTTTGTGACCCATCATGGGGACTTGATAACTTGCTAATAACACAAATAGGTATATGGCACCCTTGTGAGGGTGGGAGAGTGGAAATAAACTATATGGAACCCTAATGTGGGGATGAGTCACTTCTTGCTGTCTCACTAGGCTTAAAATGAGCCATCCCAGAGGCAGAAAGGGGGGTTTCACTACCATGAGGGAGGAGGGACCCAGGGGTGGAATACATCCTTTGGACCCTGGATCCCTGCACTGGGCTTCCTCAATGGGCATTGGGGCAGGGGGAGCTGTGGCACACTGCTGAGGTGGTGAGAGATAGCAGCAGACAGCAATGGGGAAGCCATGGCAGCAGAGGTGGCAGAGCTGGGAGCCCAGTGTGGGACAGAACGGTGGGCGTCCTGACCCACAGAATGGGAGGATTGGGTGCCTTCAGGCAGGAGACTGCTTGCTGGTGGAGTGGGTGCTTCTCTGGATGCCTACTGACAGAGCTAGAAGAGCTTTGTGGCACCTGCCTAAGCAGAGCAGAGGCCAGACAAGGGCCAGGGGCCAGGGAGAGGCATGTCTGTGGCTTTGGCTGGAGAAAGACTGCTTTGGTTAAAGAATTGT